ACTCAAAAAGCAAATAAGAAATGTTCACAGATGTTTTGATTTACTTACAAGTTGTTCCATTAAGTTTGCTCCGGTCGCTTGCGATTATCTGTCATGTTGAATGGATTCTTCTGAAAGTTGGTTAGAGCAACAAGGTGACATCACTTTACGTCACTCAGTAAACTTAAAAATAATAATTTAAATAGAAAAGTTTAATCAAAACTGTTGAGCCACAGAAAATAAAACAAAATTCCTCGTTCAGAAAATGTAATTGTTATAAGTTGCATCAATGATTTAACAGACTTTAATTGCAGTGTTCTTAATCTTTTGAAGTTAATAGTACTGTTTGGGTCTACAGTGCATGTTAGGGTGGTGACATAAACGTGCTGTCTTGTCAAGACTGGATCCGCCACACCAGAGGGGTTTGTTTCCCACTGCCTGCCTGCCACTGCGAGATGGTATAAGCTGATTCCATATATATATATATATATATATATATATATATATATATATTACTGACCCCAAAGTTTTGAATGGTAGTGTATATAAAGTTTTTATAAAGACATTTTACTCATTGTGACTTCATGCCTCACAATGTGACTTTATATTTTATTTTAAACTTTCTCACAATTAAATTTGTATTCTTTACCCTGAGGTGGAAATGGGCTTATTCACATTCATATTCTCTTTAAAAGAACAAAAACAAAAAAAAACGAGTGCAACACCATAAACTTAAAATAATCAGTACAGTAAGTTTGTGTAATTGTTCATTCAGCTTGTTATGTACAGATCATAAGTCTTAAGGATGACCTTGTTTAGAAGTTCCCATACAGAGGTTGATATGCTACAACTTTGAAGAGCTTTGCCACAGATTGAGGCAGTTGATGGCAGTGGGGAGCTGAAGTCACTGATTGCAGAAGGAGAAGAGGAGCGAGGGCATTTAATTTAGACCCTAACCGGCCCCTCCATCTTTCCACCACACAGGGAGTTAATCAGCACTTAAGCAACAAATCTGGTGACAAGGGTGGAGAGGAAAAAAGAGGGGGATGAGCAATGGTACACAGAAGAGGAAGTGAAAAACAGCAACTGAGAAGGAATGGATTAGAGAGAGAGAGATTGAGATATGGAGATATGAATAGCTATATAATAGACAAGCTGATGGACACATAGATTAGCTTTCAAATTATAGCAGTCACAAGGGGGTCTTCCATTGCACTATTACTCTGTTTTGTTCTAGTTTTTCTTTCAAAGCCTCATGGACTCCTGCAAGCTGCCTTTCCTCCCTCTCCAATCTTCCTTCCCCTCCACTGGTCCTTCAATCCACTCTTTTCTCCACTGGGCATAGTGTGAGCTGTGTGGGGTACTCAGAGTCCCAGCATGTGTTTGGAGAGTAGGAGATGAATGGAACTGGTGGGTTTGGTTTAATGGTTGGTTTGAGCTAACAAACTGCAGGAGAGCTGCTCTCACTTCTGGGGAGGGAATCAGAGCCAATCCTCCCTATACGCAAAATATGCAAGCTGCGTAGGGCCCCCGAACTCTCAAAGATGATTTAATCTTTTTAGTTTCGCTTTTGAATTTGGCCAGCGGTTATGAAAACATGAATGATAATTTCTTTTAAAATGAAAGTGTGCTGTCGCCCTTTCTATGTAAAAATCTGTCAAATCATGTAATGTGAATGTCATACAGTAAACAGTCCTACAGCTTTACCGTAAGTAGTATTTTGACATTTGCATCAGTTTTCCAGATAAAAAAAAAAAAATATATATATATATATATATATATTAGTCGGAATAGAGTGTCAGCTAGTCAATGGAAAAATATGTTTTTTAAAATCAGTGATGTAGTGATATAGCAGCAGTGGCTTGCAAAACCCTCATGCAACACGTTTTAGTTCACAGACAGACACTGGTACTGCTTTGTAAAATGTTCTAGTGCAATACATTAATCAATTCTTTAATGGCTGCCAGCCCCAAATCATAAAAATCTCTTCACAATGCGTCATGGTTAAGATGATCTCATTTATGCCCAAAAATTCAAATCCCATCTGTGCTCAGTAGATTCTTTGAGAAACTTTGCAAATCATTGCCAATGTTTTAATGTTGTTGTTTCATTATTATTTATTCATTCATTTATTTTTGAGATGGAAGCATTTTTACTGTTCCTAGTGTTCGAAAAGGCGGAGCTATGCATGGAGATAATGTGGTTCTTTAAGACCTAGATCAATAAACAGCTCTTAGAAGGTCAATAATGGTTAACAGCTAGAATAACAAGGGTTTGAATTTCTTTAATTTGTACACTAACTGCAATCATGGGCAAAAAGTATAAAATATAATTTTTGTTTTCAGCTTTTTGGAACAAATGGCTTTATCCATTTTTTATTATTATTTTTTCATGACATGATTTAAGTCAGAAAACAGTGCTTTGAAAAACCTCTCATTTATCAATAACAGCTTACATTTCCTTTATAGGGAATGGTTCTTAAATGTATATCTAAATATAATCTAATTTCTTGAAACATCTGCCTCTATTTACAAGCAATTGTCTCATTTATTTTTCAAATGAAACCATTTAATTTTACCAACAAAGACGGTGGATGTCTTTTTAATGCTTCCTTGATTTGCGCAATCAAAAGTCTATTTTAAATTACAACTAAATATTAAAGCAAAATCAGTGTCTAAAGTACATTCTAAAGTATACTTTTTAAACTTTTTTAAGGTTTCAACATCTTTATCTTTATTTATTCATGCATCATAAAACACAGTCTGTTTTAGATTGTGCTGCCTCTTTGGCGCTTCATCCAAAATATGAAGCAGTGTCTTAGGGATTGAGGCAAACATATTGCAAAAAAAAACAAACCTGGAAACCATTTTATTCCAATATGGCGGACAGAGATGAGGGAAATACTGTTGAACATTTTTTTTTGTTATAATTCATTAAAGATGTATTAAGCAATTGTTCAACTAACATTCATGTGTAATTTGTTGCAGGGCCATAACCACATTGACACAATCAGAAATGGCCAATGTTCAAGACATGGTTACAGCCTTGCTTTGTTTTAGCTAAGTTTACAAGTTATCAGTAACAAACATGTTAACGCCTAAATCATCTATGTGCTTGAGGGAAAACAGCGAATTGATACAATACTGTGTGATCATCATCAAAGTTGCTAGTATGAAGAACATCTCAAATCAGTAATTTATGAGGTTCTGTTGAAGTTGCTGTTTGTGAAAATAGCAGGCAGTGTGGACAAGCTTTTTGACACAGAAACAAACCTTCTCCCTTCACTAAACACTAAAAGACTTGGAACACAGAAGAGGAATGAGCATTGTACATTTGCCATTTTCTCATGCAAAGTTCCATTTGAGCTACTGGAGAGTGTTTTTATGTGTGGAGTAATGAGCTCATGCTGGCATCGGACTTGATTAAACTATATTAAGAGCATTAATAAAGGTTTGTTTAACTTTTTACATTTGTTTTACTTGTAATTATATAAAAACTGATCATGATGTATCAAAATCATTTGACATCACTGCACAGGGCACATATTATTCCACATTATGTTTTATAAGTGCATAATCATCAATTGTGACAAATAAATTAAGGCATTATTTGGCACCAAATAAATGCACTTAAGATACTTTTGTTGGTTGTTGGCTTTAAATTTTCATGCAAAAACCTATTAAATGACTCAAATCCAGCTAAATACTCTCAGGGACTGTGGCCTTCTGTTTTCAATCTTCCAGCTGTAAGGCAGAGAGGAATATCAATTATGCCTGCTGTTCAGTCTTGGAAACTACTGGTGGCATCCTACATCTGATAACATGGCCTTACAACAAGCCTGCATGGCACATGGCGACCCGCTGAACCATGTTGCAGAATCGTATCTGTGCGCCTGACCGAGCCCCTCAGGCACTGATCCGGACACCTTTATTGAACCAATCGGATGGACCTCTCAGCTTGTGACAAATTGCGGGAGGAAGAGAAACTTACAGGCCCCATTGAACTTTAGTATAGCTTTTATTCCTCTGTCATGTTCCCGCAGAGATGAAATGGGATGGTTTTTACTTTTTCCGGTCCTCTTTTTTTCCATTCTCAAAGCCATCCGCTCTGCACTGACTGGTGGATAAATGGCCTTGGTTTCGCTCTCTTTCTAACGTGGTATCAAAGGGAAAATGATACAATGTGATTTAGTTTTCGAAGGTCACTGCACAGTGCACACTTTGTAACTACCTTATTTTTAACACACTGTAAGCGCGAATGCAGCCATTTTAAATACAAATGTGCAAGGTTTCAAATTTCAGCTGCTTACAGTTGTTTTAGCTGTGCTAAAAGACTTCATTATGTTGCAAACTGGTTATTTTATGATATTATTTTAATTCATAATTGTAATCATAAACAAGTTTGCAGCATAAATAGTTTTATCTTTTACTGCACCTTGTTATTCTTAGTTATCTATAGTTATGTACCTATAGCAACTAAAGACAAAACTTTCACACATTGACAGGAAATAGCATACTTATACACGCTGAAAAATAATGTTTTTTTTTTTGTGTTCTTCACAATCTTGCGTTATTGGTGAGACACAATAACTGGGCCAGAAATGTAGTTTGTATTACTTTTGTATGAACAGTCATTTGCAAGACGCCATATGACAATAAATAAATGTTTTACTTGACCTGAATAACTTGATAAAAGAATAATATGAGAATGGAAATTTTTGATTTAAACAAAAAAATTATAATACACACACACACACACACTCACACACACACCAACTGATTATAACAAAAACACCACCACCAATAATAATAATAATAATTATTATTATTATTGTTTTTGTTACATAATTTCTAAAAATAATTCAGCAATATTATTTGTTATTATGATATATTATTTACATTATATGTTGATATATAGTTAATTAAATCCTAAATTTTATAGTTAAATCAGTGGCATTTGAAAAAGAAAGCATTAATGTGAATTGTGACTTTTCTTATGAATGTAAATGCATGTAGACTATTGAGGATCACAGAATAGTGAATAATGTAGGTTGCAGAGTATGCTGGTCAACTAATAAAGTCATGGCTCTGGGTGAGTATACACATTAGCAAACAAATTTAGGTAGCTTTCTTTTAGTGAACAAAAACAAAATGTTCCCAGTCTATCTACTGGAAATAAATGGGTTTAATAACACACTGTTTAATGAGAGGAACGGCACTAAAGGAACCGTGGAAGTTGGCAATAAAGCACAGCTTTGACTCCATAAAAACAGTCCAAGCAATGAATATGAAATTAGTGCCACTTTTTTCCCCCACCTAATCAATATAACTAATGAGATGTCAACATAAACAAACAAATCGGTAAAAGCTGCTATGAAATAAAAGGATGCTCTTTCAACACTTACTCTGCTAGGCTTCAATTAACACTGGCTTTTGGCTTCACCCCCTCTCAGCGTCATGTGGATCCGTACTGTCCCTGCAGAGTGTGTGCCCTGGCCCCCTGCCGCCTCTGCATTGCTCATGTTGTTGTCCGGGCCAGGCTTGCATTTGTGACACACAAACTGCCTCCCATTAATGATCAGCAGGGCAGCCACAGTCCACTACCACAGTGCCCTCGTTAGTGCCCTCATTAACAAGCAGCAGGGCACCTAATTAAACAGCTCAGTAGTTAGTAAGTGCCCTCCCTCCATTTCTCCATGATAAACACCTGAGTGGATTAAACTTATGTTCATTTATTTATCTAGTTTTCCCTCTGCTTTTTCTCCCTTGGATTCCAATCCCTCTCTAGTGTAATATATAATGTAAAAGTGCATTCAAACACTATAAACAACAAACCAGGCCAAAGCGCCTAATGGTGAAACTAATAGAGAAGGCTATGCATCTGTCAGATTGTGCTCTTAAAATACTCTGAATATTATGAATTGTTTTCTTTTCATCCATAAATCCAATTTATTGTGTTGGCTTGATTCCAGCTTTGCTTCAATCTACAGATAAACAGTGTACTATTGTGGAGTGCGATTACTGCTATTATTCAACAACAATTACACTTCAACAAAAAGTGTTTTAGATTAATGCTCTCATAATCATTAGGTAATGCTTCTGGTGTCATTATTTACAAGTAGATAACTGGTTTGAATTGTGACGGTGCTATCTAAACAGTTTCAAGAAACACATTTCTTTTAATGATCTTTTGTTTTGCTGTACGATGAAAAGATATTAGTGAAATGTTTAATCAGATTTACACTTGTTTCCAAAGCTTCTATAAGCAGTGAATTATGATTTACTGGAATTATGATCTTTTTATGTGCAAGACTAAAAATTATAACAAGTGCATTGTCATTACTCTTGTCAATCAATAAGATGATATAGCAATGTGGGAAGCTGGTTCATTTGCATAGCCATCACAATTCTGTTTTGTGAACAGATCTTTCACAAAGGACAATGCTTTTATCGATTCCCATTTGTATACATTTTGAGGCTGTTTTATCATCATTCTGCTCTTTTAAAGTAAGTTTGTACATCCTTGACGATACCAAAGGACAAGCACCTACAAACAACAAACAGCAGTAAGTATAAGTGAAAATCCACAAATGTGGATATCACAAATGTTCAACATTACTCATTAGAGCTCAAAAAGAGCACTGGTGAAAAGATTTTTGATTAATTTGTTAGCTTGCTCTATAAACACTTTAAACTCACCTGAAATCATATGGACTGTAGCCTGTTGAGGAATAAATGCAGACAACCTTTGTTAAAAAACATCATATATAGCACAGCTTAGGATATTTCCACTGCTCTTGCTTACACTCTCATTTTGGGTTTGAGATTCTCTCTTTCAAAACAAAAGTGCAGACGACATACAGCTTTACTTTGCGTTCACGTTCCAGCCAAATGATCGCTCAGTAGCTGCACTGATCTCACCATGCCTTGCAGACGTCTCGACTTGGATGAAAGAACACCACTGAACCTAACGCAGACACCATCAGTAAACAATAACATTATCCAGGTTAGACTATTACAGACCACATCGCAAGAAAAACCTCAAGTCTTCCCATCAATTATAAGGCACTGAAGCTTGCATATTGAACCATCACTGGATTTAACCTATCCTACCTACCCTTACTTTCACAAATCGTCATTCCCTCAAGTCTGTGGTACTAAAACAAAGAGGCACAAAATCAGTTTCTGAAACATTTATTGTTATTGCTGGAATGATTTTCCCAATTCCCTCTTTTCTTCAAAAAATACATCTCTTTCCTAGCTCATACTTTTCAGACCAGTTTTGGACTTTGCATTTTGCCACTCACAAGTTATGTATCCATGGGATGAATCACTTATGTTGTAGCAGTTGCAAGTCACTTTAGATAAAAGCATGAACAAATGCAAAATGTAAATGTGACGTTAACATGCTAAAATAATTCATGCATTGTTGAAGGGGAAAAAAAAACACTGTCAAAAAAAAGAGAAGATGAAATGACATGCAATGCAATGCACTGTTACTAGAACTTTCTTGAAGGCCTCTATTTTTAAGAGTGTGTTCCAAATGTAAAGACCCCAAAAAGTTTTTTTTTTCAGCAATGCCACAGAAGAACCATTTTGGGTTCCCTATAGAACCTTTGAGTCAACAGTTGAAACTTTATTTTTAGTGTATATATCATTTTAATAACCCAAATAAACTTTTTTTCCACTAGAAATAACCTTTTTGTGCAATGGAAAGGTAACATGGATGCTAAAGGTTCTTCATGTAACCATAAATGTAACCATCAATCAACCAACCATCAAATAAAGAACCTCTCTTTGAAGAGAGTACGCATGATAATCAGTACGTCAATTAAATAAACAACCAAGGCTTTTTCAAGGGTGGTGAAACAAAGCACCATCCAAAAATTCAAAATAAACATATTAACTATAATAATTTATGCATTTAGCAGACATTTTTATCCAAAGCGACTTACAGTGCATTCAGGCTATACATTTTTTTACCAGTATGTGTGTTCTCTGGGAATTGAACCCATGACCTTTTGCACTGCTAACGCAATGCTCTACCACTGAGCCACAGGAGCAAACTACTATTCAATGCTGTCCTATATGATTCTCACTCAGTATGAGGATCCTTTTTGATGACGGATAAGTTAACAGTGACATACTAAGTGGCTGTGGCAATACCAATCATGACCTTTTCTTCACTGAAAAAGCAAGTGTGTGTTTAAGCTTCTCTTCACTAGGCAGGTCTGGGTCACCTCCAGGGTAGTCGAGGCTAGCGCATTTTTGCTGATCATCCATCTTGTTGTGCCACAGAGGCCATGCATCTTTCTCTAACTAACAGGTGAGCTGAGCAATGCATTACAGGATGAGTGGCCCACTGTTTCACAAGGGAACACTATGTGCTATGACGCACCAGGTGCACGGGCCAAAATAAACACTGGAGTAATGGCAAATGCACCATCAAGGACAACACAGAAGCATCCAGGCGCTATTAATACCATGACCCATTCTGTATGTGTGTGTTCAGGACACAGTCTGCTGATCTTGCATAAAACAGTTCATTGACTGTGTACAGAAGAACAAAACTGTTGTGAGATGGATTTAATATTATCTTTTAACTTTGGGTGTTTTCAAAAAAAGTAAAAGAGGGCAGCTCAAAGGCATCACACTGGTCACATCCTTCGGTGTCACAACAATAACTCTCTCAGTAAATGCCTTCTAATGAATTTAGTTTGTGAAAAAATGGGGAAAAGTTCAAGTCTTTCTACATTCAAGCACCTGTTCAAGGTGTTTCAGCTCTGCTAAAGGGAACACTAAGCCTTGTTCTCCTGTCACTAATCCATAGCAGAAAACAGCTTTCAGGGGATTAATATCAAGGGGCATACCGGTGCTTGACAGTAGGGGTTCATGCTCTCGCTTGCATGCCACCCAGTCTAGAATTGTTCTTTACACTCTTCAAAATAAAGGTGCTTCACGATGCCATAGAAGAACCTTTTTGTCTAAATGGTTCCATAAAGAACCTTTAACATCTGAAGAACCTTTCTGTTTCACAAAAGGTTCTTTGTGGCGAAAGAAGGTTCTTCAGATTATAAAAAGGTAAGAAAGAGATGGTTCTTTAAAGAACCTTTGACTGAATGGTTCTTTGTGGAACCAAAAATGGTTATTTTATGGCATCGCTTGAAGAACCTTTTGAAGCACCTTTATTTTTAAGAGTGTACCTCATTACGAATCATAGTCTGAAGTGTCTGCTAAATGCAAGTTAACTGCTCAGTTTGACACTCCAGTCATGTGCTTTACATCTGTGTGCACATATCTGTGTGCACAAAGAGTAGACGTCTAGTGTTTGATGTCACACTAATACATCTAAATGCAATCACAGATGTTGAAGCTGTTAAGTTATATCTGGAGAATAATAATAAACATGGACATATAACAGTGGATGTTTAAAAAAACTGACATAAGCATTATCTAAAAAGATTGTGCCTTATTACTGATTAATAGTCAATATTACAATGTATTATATAAAATAAAATATAAAATGTATAATGTAAAGGCATTATCTAGATTATTGTAAATATCTAAAAAAAATCAGTGCCTGTAAATGCTACAAATTAATTTAGAAATCACAGTAATTATAATCTGCAGTATACTGCAAAATGAAACTGGATATTGATTTTGGTATTGACTAAAGATTACATATGTAACAGTGTTATTAAATTAGCATTTTTAATGATTAACTTTAACTGACCTCAGTCTAATAAAGGACATTGCAATTGTTTTTCAATGATTTTGCATAACTGCACAGCATTATCATTAGACAGAACGCAGACAGTAATGTGGACCATTTTCAGTAAATTTCATAGAGAAAAGGAATGGGGGGGGGGGGGGGGGGGCGG